TTTCACATCTAATATTTTTAAATATTTGGTTTAGTGATTTTATAACCTATTTTTAGTTCTTAAAACGTCACTTTTCATATCTAATAGTGCCCAATTTCACATTTTTGTTACTTATTTTAGGTGCCCATATCATCACTTTTTTAAGCCTAAAATTCTGAGGTCTAATCATGACCAAAGTTAGATCAGCCATATCCTCCAGGGCGGCACTGCCCCAGTTGGAATATGCTTGAAACTCCTGTGTGGTGGTGTAGTACAAGAAAGTATAAGGGGAAAAGATGAGGAAGGAAAGACTCCACGACCGGTTTGTAAGGATACTGCTCCAATATTTGCCTTAAATGGATCAGCGAGACCATAGAAAAATACTACAGTGCATGATGAGATACGGCAGATAGAACTACCTGGAGATTACTTACCAACGTAATGGTAAAAAATGACAAGTGACAGGCCTATATCGTTCTTCATTGTAATGAAAATGATAAGTTTCATAATCTTTTAAGATGTATGCATCTTAAGATGTATCATCATAAAATGCATACACCTGCATGGAATTTTTGCGTTCACTTTTATTTCCACCCTAATATCTTTATGAAACTCATTTCATTGACATTTTCAAGAACACTATCTGTTATTTAATACTGTCAAATTTACTAATGTTTAATAATTTCAGTTCTTACCAGTTCTCCAACATGACTTTTCAAGCTCTAAAACAAATAAATCATTGTAAAAAATGCCAGCAATATCTTCTTCGTCTTCTTCTGCGTCAAGCACACCACCAAAAACATAGGCTTTTGCACCTGCTGAGGCTAAAGTTAATCCACAGCGTGGAGTAACACTCACACCACTGCCTTTCACAGTCATCCATTTCCACTTGGTGCCAGTTTCATCATGTTCTGCAATAAAATTACTTTGATAAATGGAAAACTAAATTTATTGTAATAAAAAAAGGGGAAATTTGTATTTATTGTTTCAAAAAATAATTAAGAAAAAATAGAAAATACAAAAAATACATTTTTATGATTCAATTTAAAAGTCCCTTACAAGCATTTTCAATTTTTCGAACACAAAACATTGCTGATCAGACCTTAAAATGGATCTTAAAACCAATGTTTTACATCCACAAGAAGTAATTTGACATTAGTTTGCACCATAAAACAGGAGTTTTATAGGAAATATAAAATAAATACATCGATTATACAATGTTTTACTTAAATAGTTTATTAGCTTGTTCACATGATGTTACTTGGACAAGACGCACATGATTAATTGTTAGAATCCACACTAGATATCCGTGGTTCCAACCACCATTAAAATGCAAGTATTTACTTGCATTCCAATGGTCACCAAGGGTACAGACATTCTGTGCAAACTCAACAAGCTTGTTATAGATAGAGACTAATATGGAGGGGGTCAATTTAAACAGAAATGAGGGAAAAGTAGGAGGTAAGAACATAGAAAAAATCAAGTGGAGAGTAGAAATTAGGTATGGTTTAAATGGAAATTATCAAATAACTAAGAGCAAGATATGTAAAATGTAGGTGAAAATTGGGTAACTTGAACGCAAGAAAAATAGTACTGAAATCTAAATATTAGGAGTGCTCCAGTGCGCAAGAGGTCTTGATAACTTCTGCTTCACACACTTTCGCTCCTCCTCTATTCTGAGTAGGTAATTTCAAAGAAGCAGGGCAGTTTGAAAATTCATGGACAATGTCAAGAATCATAGAAATGCAATATTACACTGCTGTAACTACTTAGACATGCAACTATATTAAAATATAACAAAATATGTAGTAAGAGATAAAATAAGAATATTACCAAAATAATTTAAACAAAAATCATTATAATTCATTCAGAAAATCTTGGAAAAAAAAAAAATTATTGGTACTTATAAAAATATGTATTTACATGTCAGTTCATTCCACAAATAGTATTTCAGTACTAACTTTTAAATACATATTTCAGCATGATAATAATTATGTGAATTAGAAATAGACAATGTCAAAGTTTAAATTTTAAGAGATGTACACTGCTTCTACTTTGTGTAAAAAATTTAATCATGGCAAAATTGCTTAAAAACTCACTTTCAGGAGACAGGATGAACATATCAGTATGAACATTTCCCTTGTCTACATCCTTTTTCACACGTGTTTTACTGTAGCCTCCATAAATCATTACTCGACCATCAGGAAGGGCAGCCATAACGCAACCAGAACGTGGAGATGGGGGAGTGCCTAATCAAACAAAACCCATCATTTTTCACAAACGTATTACAAATTATTATAGTGCTCCACATTAGCTAGCTTAAAACACTTTTACAATGATTGTTCATTGTTTCCATCAAAACAAATACAAAGAAAAAGACACACCTGATGGTTCCAGTTTTACCCAAGTATAATTCTCAAGGTTGAATGCATAGAGATCATTGAAATATTTGTAGTCTCGCAGCACATCATGAAAGCCACCAAATACAATAAGTTGTTTCTTCACACACACCATGCGATGGCCACTTCTAGCAGAAGGTCCTCCTGGGGCACTGAGAAATGATAAACAGATTTCAAATTTTATATCAATAGCAGAATTGGCAATTTGGATAAAATAAGTGCAAGAAATACTTTGAAAATTTTATTACAACAAAAATTTGTGTAGCTCTACAATTCTCTCTTTTGTTAGTCTTCTTGCAAGAAATAAGCAATTCTTCCTTTCATCTTTTTCCTAGTAATAGTCCTACACAGTTGCAGTGTCTGCAGAGCCTGATGTTTGCTATTTAAGTTGGTTAGGATGTATGGATAGGCTAGAAAGGCAATATGTGTAAATATTATTATGGCTGGGGTCACCCTTCTTGAACATAGAGCAAATTTTAGCAGCTTTCCAAATGATTGAGTAGGACCCCAATAAGATAATCCTTTGAAATATCAAAAACAATTATTATATTTATATACATCGGAACAGATTAGAAAAATAGTTAACATTAACACTTGGCAGTTATTTGGTTATATATTAAACTCAATGAAACCGAACTCTCTTGCTTTTTTTACTGTGTTAAGTGTCCAAAACTTCAAAGGATTATCAATGAGAACAGATTCAACACTTCTATTAAATAAGTCATATTGAATATTGTTTTATATTAATTCCCAAAGCTTTAATTGTTTCAACAAATCTTTCATTAAATAGTGTTACTAATCAAAGGTGCTTTAAGTTCTCTATAATTTATTTTTTATTTAATTTTATCAATTAGCACAAATACTTTGGGAAGTGATTGAAATTAACTCGTTGACTCTACATGTGCAAATTACAAATGTTCAGGGACAATTGCAAGTAACACCGTTTCCAAAATAAAATTGATTATAAGTAACTGAAAATATCAAGTAGGGAAATTTCTACATTTTTTTGCAAATACTATGAAGACATTCATTAACTCAAAAATAAAAAATAATAAAAAACACCCTACAAAATTATTACTACAAAATTACTACAGTGTTTTGTTACACAACTAAAATGTGCAATTTTTCAATGTTTTAAATTCCTAGTCAATAATTACTTATAAGAGCAGTAAAATTATTGCCATTTAAGGGCAGTAAAAGTATGTAAATACCTACATTTAAATTACTTAAATGTAGGTATGGTAATAATAAAGGAATAGATTAATATATTCATTAGTTTGTCATCACTGTAAATTTTAAAATGTATCCAAATGTTCCATCTGTCATATTTTTAACATGGTTTATTGTTGTTTTACTTTGAGGCTATGAAGCCCTTTCAAAATTTTTAGGCAGGCCACAACTGCCTTGGGTTCACCTGTGCACACAACTGTACTATTTATTATTGACAAACTTCTTTCAAATGCA